TACTTGTTTCGTCTATCTCCTTTCGTTCATCCTCTCGATATGTCCACCCCCCACTTCTTCTAATGCCACTTCTTCAAAATAGACTCGCCCAGGACGAACACTGACTTCTGCGCATGGGCCACGAAGTTTCAATCACACTGTACGTGCGTGCCTGCATGTGGTATTTTGTGGAAGAGCCACACTCAAGGGGCCAAAGATCCGAATGTGGCTCACAAGCCGCAGTTTGCCGACCACTGTTCTAGGCCAAAGCTGCGGTCTGAGAAAGGAGACAGACTTTCAGTCTTGTTGGTGTTTTGGGAAGAATGCCATCATAATGATATTTCCAGGCTGCTCTGAATATGGCCAGTAAGGGAGAACCCGTCAAGACAGCCTGCCTTCAATTAAAACAGCAGTGGGATCCTATTTTCTACTTGTAAAGTCGGGAAAGAGCTTTTTAAGCAATACCCGGTTTCCTGGGAATCTATTCCTACACAGCTGATCGGAGGGCCATTTGGCCAAAAAACCACACACAAAAAAGCAAAACGTTAAAACTATGCATATTCTTTGACTCTGCAATTTTACCTCCAAGAATGTATCCCACAAAAATAATTTTATCTCTGCAATGATTTATCCATTAGTTGATATTAGACACAGTGTTGTTTGTAAGAGTAAAAAAATTAGTAATCAATGAACTGTCTAACAGTAGGGAATTGCCCAAAGCAATTCTGCTACATCCATAGGAAGGAATAGTATACAACTGTTACAAATATGGTGGTCGGAGAATATATGAAGATGTGGGCATTTGTTCATGACCTATTTTAAGTTAGAAAGCAGTTTACAGAGCACCATGTACAAGGTCTATTTTTGTTTAAAAATCACACAATAGAATAATCTAAACATGTGCATAGAAGAAAAGGCTAGAAGACTATACATTCAAATGTTAATAGCAACCATCTTTGGGTGGTAATTTTTACGGATGATTCTTACCATCCCCTTTATGCTTCCCTACCACCCCCAGGAAGTCTTATATAACAAATATTATACCAGCAGTTGGGGGAAGGCAGCTCTAAATATTTCAAGCAAAACGAGCAGCACACAAGAACCCTGTGATCAATTCGGGTTGCTTGCTGACAGGGAGCTAGGATGTTTTAGTTCTGTGCTCAAACCCAGACACATGCCAGGACTTTATGTTCCAAAGCAGTTGGTTCAAAATAATTTACACGAGCCCTGATAGCATAGAACGGTCTTACGAGTTTTCTCTGTTTTCATTTAACATGAAGTATTTCCTACCACACTATGCTAAGTCTTGTAAGCATCAGCCCACATTTGGGAAGGCGGCCTGACACGGTCACACAAATGCTAGCACACAGATGCTACCTTGGGAAAAGGGACATTTCAGTCCTTTCGCCAACACTCCCCATGTCACTGAAATCCCAAGCTGTGTCTATGGAAAAAGAAATAGAGAGCTTGTAGCCTAGACTGACCCATAGCCAGATCCATCACAGGTCACCGAGGAGAAGTTATAGATGTCTGGGGGAAATCCTTCATCTGGGGGCGGGGGGGAATGATGTCATCTGTGACAGCATCCGGACTTTTCCAGTGTCCTTTGCTGTCCCGGACAGAATGGATGGGCGGGATCATCCCGTCTGCTCTTGTCAATCGCCTGCCATGGACTGATCCAGCTGGCTGGACAGTGGACTTGAAACTTTAAAAAGCCTGAGGGCGAGGATGGCTGTGAGGTAGCAGGCTTAGTCTGAGCGAGTACCCCCAGGGTGAAACGCGATATTGGCTGCCTCCTGCACCCGTCCCCTGCAGCAGATCCAGTCTGGCCCGCTTGGGTGCTTTCAATGGCACAACATCGGGCAAACTCCAGAAGAATGGCAGCGGCCGGACGTTTAGGCACATGAGCTCCAGGATGACAGCTCCAAGGAATGTGCGTGTCTACAGTCTTCCAGAGTCCCTTAAACACAACAGTGAGTCCAGGTTAACCCACCCTATGCATCCCTGTTAGGACTATTCTCAGGGTTTAAAAATGCAAGATTGCCAAGCATTTTACAACCAGAGATTCCCATGCACTTCTCCAATCCCCCCTCCCCTGCCCCCTTTCAGGAATCCAATGGCCCGGAGCTCACAGAACACATAACGGATCAACCTGCCGGACTCACCTCGCTGCTGCGGGTCCTCCGGGAGCCTCAGCCTGCAGGTGTGCAAACCGCACAGCAGGTGGCTGCCGCCTCCTCTTGGCACAGCAGACATGGTCCCGGCGGTGTCACTACGGCTCCAGGGTCTCCAGGGCATCTCCTTCCCCGGGCCAGTCACCCACAGTGTCTTCACAAGTCAACCCGAAGCACAGAGGGACGCGCGGATCCCGTCCTTGCGTGTAAACCATGTACTTCTCTAATACATTCCCAAGTGTTTCCTGGTCGTGATTCTGAAAATAATCATTCCCCGCTGTGACTGCCCCCACAGAAAAAGATGCCGGCGCACTTGGATAAAAACACAAAATTCTTCTTTCATTTCAGAGCATATTGAAAAGTTTCCCCCTTCAAGTGTAAAAGCCTACACGGTAACTATTTCCAACAGATGACAGTCTGGGCCGTTTGGACTCCTTCTGCTGACATGAAATCTAATGCCCCGCGTATTTAGAGAGGGCTGCTAGAGTAATTACACACACGCAGAAAGAAGTGCAGCCGAGTTAAGTCAAGTGATTTCTGAGCCTGGTCGGAGTTACCCTCTGGGACAGCAGACGGTGAAGTTCTTAAGGGAGGCTGGGAGGAGGAGGAGCCGTGGGCTGGCTGATCAGCATAAAGGCGCAGGCAAGACCAGGCAGTGGAGCTGCTGTGAATAATAGTGACCGAAGCAGGGATTCTAAAAAGATGCCCTGACATGACAGTACTCACATACCTGACTTCTGCTGCTTTGTTTGGAATGAAAACCAAAGCTCAACGCAGGGGCTTCTGCGGCCTGGAGATGCGTTTGTACATGCGAGATCTGAAGGGTGGAAGGGGAACTAATAATGAGCTCATGGAAATGTACTGCTGAGACTCCGTTTCTGTAAACAGCCTCCAGTCTTCAGAGATGGGCAGTCAGAGAGCAGACCAACTGCCAAGGTAACTATTTGGAGATCTGGAAGAAAAATAAGCACACAAAACATTATCTTTCCAGAAATCTAGCTCTGTTCACCCTAAGATTCTCTATTGGTACTTCTAGGTCATAAGACAAAGCTGTTTCCTGTGTGTGTGTGTGCACTGAAAAAGCATATCTCATTGAAATACTAAAAGTAGTTCATATTTCATTGAAATAATAGCGGATTCATTAATGTTTTAAAATAATCCCAAACACCTTTCCTTTAACTTGGGAGCTTGCGACCTCTGAAGTTCTAATGAAGGCTGGTAGACCCTGACCTTCGAGATTCACGGCTCTTTGTGGATTCAGAAAGGAGGTGGTGGGCAGGAATAAAGGAGAAAGGCAGCACTGTTTAGCCTTCATGTCTGGACCCTGCAGTTTCCTCTGCATCTTTGGAAGTTGGTGCTGAACGTGACACCCTAACTAGAAATGTCCCTCCTAGTCTGATGGGGTGTGGGGGGGGCATCCTCATTTGACTCTGGGGCGTTAACGATTTCCCAGGTATACTCTGAGCTATAAGAACTCTTATGAAATATGTGATTGCTCTTCCATAAATTTTTTAATGATTTATTAAGCTGCTTTTATTATTTAACCAGAGGCCCGATGCACGAAATTCAGCCCAGCCTGCACCCTCTCACAGTCCGGGACTCTTCCCTCCTTAGTGCCTGCCTGCTCGCTACTCCTTATCACTTGGCTCGCTGCTCCTTAGTGCTGCTGGAGGTGGGAGAGGCTCCAGTCACTGCAGCTGTGCTTGCCAGCTGTGAGCCCAGCTTCTGGCTAAGCAGTTCTCCCCCTGTGGGAGCGCACTGACCACCAGGGAGCAGCTCCTCTGTTGAGCATCTGCCCCCTGGTGGTCAGTGCACATCGTTTGGTCAATTTGCATATTAGCCTTTTATGATATAGGATGGTCTCTCTATAGCAGCGTTAGGCCCCTCACAGTGTAACAGGCTGTAGACGTCCGTGGCTCCTTTGAAAAAGATTCCATGACTAGAGAACCATGGCTTCCGCTTCCAGTGGCTGGGATTGAGCTCCTACGTCAGAGCGGTCCGGGTGGAAGGCCGAGGCCCTTTCTCCTTGAATGGGATCCAGCTATCAATATTCTGTCCAATTGTGGGCCTCGCTAATGAGCCTACTACGCTGCAGGTAAAGCAAACAACCCACCAAGCTGTAAGCCAGCCCTTGAGAGAAACGTATTAAATGTTCTATGAGAATTTTTATATATACATGTGAATTGCTAGAGAGAATACCACCATAAGCCTCATGCACCCATCACTTGGATTTAATCATCGACTCATGGAACAATGTGGTTTCGAATCTGTGTTTCATTACAATCACTTTCCCCTCATTTCACCCTTGGCATTAAAGCATCCCAGACATCATTACATTCTCAATATGTATTTTTAAAACTCAAGGACTTTGAAAAATAGGACCATGCTAAAAGTGTCATTTTTTAAATCCTTAAACATGATTCCTTAATGCTATTAAATATCCAGCTGGTGTTATTTTTCTGATGCCTCATAATTTTTTAAAATTTTTGCATTTTGTTCAAATTGGGATCCAAAGGTCCACACATTTTATCTGGCTGATCTTTCTCTTAAGTCTTTTTCACTCTGTACATTCCTCTCTGAAAAAAAAATGTTGCTTAAGGATTAATATCTACATGTACCCTGCTTTGTGTCTGATTTTTCAGACACCCACTTTTCTCTCTCACCCACGGATGTAAAGCTGGTGGGAAAGGGACCAAATGGAATGGAACAGACCACAGAGGCTAAAGCAGCCAGCGTCTGGCACTCCAGTCACTGCACGGTGGCCTGGAACCAGGTGGAACCATCTCAGGGTTGTGTCTTCCTTTGTCAAATGAAACCCATGTTTGGTAAGAAATGAGAGAAGTTACTCAACACTCATTCTATGAATGTGAAGACCTGGGAAAGGAGAGACTATTCTGCTTTGTCATTGGCTAGAGACTGAGGAGAAAGAAATAGATTTAAAACTAAAAATTTAAGTAAGATTTGGGAGTGTATTTGAAAATCTAGGTCCTCAATTCTCAAATCTGGACTTACCTGGGGAACATAGTAAAGAGAGACTCCTGAGACCCCACTGCACAGTCTGAGGCCTGAACTATATACATTCTCTCTTCTTAAAACTTAACTCTCCCTGCCCTCAGATTTATCGATATGTAATTGACACATAATATTGAGTAAGTTTCAGGCGCAGTGCGGATTTGACCCATTTACATTGCAAGATGATCACCACCAGAGCATTCACTACCCTCCCCACCCATCACATGGACCATTTCTTTTTTGTGGTGAGGATGTCTAAGATCTACTGTTTTAGCAGCATCCGCATATATGGCACAGCATTATCAGCTATAATCACCATCCTATACAGCCAAGCCCCAAACTTGTTAACCTTGTAACTGGAAGTGTGTACACTTTGGCCAATAACTCCCCATTTCTCCCACCTTCCAATCCCTGGTAACTACCACTCTCCTCTGTTTCTCTAATTATGACTTTTTTAGGTGGAATATATATTTAAATATATTTTCATTGATTTCAGAGAGAAAGGGGGAGGGAGAGAGAGAGAGAAACCCAATGAGGAGAGAAAATCATTGATCGGCTGCCTCCTGCACGCCCCCTACTGGGGGTTGAGCCTGCAACCCAGGCATGTGCCGTTGACTGGAGTCGAACCTGGGACCCTTCAGTCTGTAGGCCGATGCTCTATCCACTGAGTGAAACCGGCTAGGGCCTATATATTTTTTAAGTCCTCTTGTCAAGGGAAACAAGCATAACCTGCTTAAACAGATCTGGTTTGCTCCCCTATTTCATTCATTACACCTTCCTAAAGCAGTTCCCAGTGTCGCTACGTCAGGGCATAGAGAGGCTTCCAGGGGAGGCTTGCTGCCCGGTCCCTCCATGTCCCACGGTTGTGCATCACGGAGTCATCCCTGGACAGTGGCCCTGTGACTGAATCAAGGAGACTGCTGAGGTCTTACCTGCATGCTGAGTCACACTTCTGCTCTGGGAATAAGCCCGTGGGAGGACAATCAGTGACTCTCCTACGGTCTCAGGTACAGGTCATCATTTTCTGATATTGCAAATACAAGCCCCCATTCAGAAAGCAATATGTTACAAGAGCCTATAAAATAACATCAGATGCATCAGCCATAGGAAGTATCAGCTACAATAAGCCATGGCCCTTCCTTTTCAGAAACACCACCAAGTTAGTAGTCCAGTGTGCACAGTGTCCTGTGCTTCTTGCGTATAAATAAAAGCAAGAAGTCGGACAGCAGAAGGTGAAGACTGGTTCTGTCAAGAAACAAGTGAATAATATTTTGGCATTTTTACTTGCAATTTGACTCCAAATTAATTAGCATCCTATTAAAGCCAAGCTTCTTCCCTTATCAACTCTGTGATGCCAAAGAGATTGCACTGGTTTCCTCGGTCGGGTTCTTCCTTCTCTCCCACGTTCCCTCTGCTATTTGTAAAACACGGAGATGCAAATGGTTCTATTAGAGACTGTTCTGCTGGAACAGCTGCTCTGCGCCGGCACAGTATCAGATGCGTACTTATCCGAGGGGCCGCTATCGGAATCGCTACCTTGGTCTTTAATTCGGTGCAGCAGACCAACATTTTGGTCTTGGGTCTCAGAGATATTGCCTCACTCCATAAACTTTGGCCATTCAAACTAATGTTGGCCCTTTCTTGCAGATGAGCCTCAGGTTTGACGGCCACAGGGCTCCTGCAGGTCAGCAGAGTCCCGGGTCAGCTAGTAAAATAGCCTCACAAGTTAACCCCTGTCTTCTCATCCAACGCCCAGGAGAATGGGGGCTTGTATTTGTAATATCAGAAATTGATGACCTGTACCTGAGACCGTAGGAGAGTCACTGATTGTCCTCCCATGGGCAACATTTGATCATGGCTGTGTGCAAGCAGGTAATCTCCGCAGCTTTACATTTTTCTATCTTTATTGAAGTCTTTTGGCCAAAACAAAAACAGGACCAAATAAAACCAGAGGTCAGAAAAATGTGGAGTTTATTTTGTTTGTTTTAAGTGGCAAGGAAACCCAGAGTTCAGTGGTTCTGTTTCCATAATGTCCGCCATCTGGGTAGGATCAAATGATGCTAAAGAGCCTGAATTCCACCTAAAAGTGTTTGAAGTACAAGGCATCGGGGTCAATGGGTTTGCAGCAGAACTGAACGCTGAAGGTAAATACTTATTAACTGGGATCATTTCCAAAGCAAAGCAAATTAACTTGCACCTGATCAAACTTTTGTAACTTAAGCTGAATTTGCACTTGCAGGAATAAAATAATAACCAAACTACATTTCTCCTTTTCTACTTCCCTCATATCTTCTTCTTTCAGTAGTTCCTTCCTCCCTCCTTCCCTCACTTCCTTCCGCCCTCCCTTCCTTTCTTCCTCTCTCCTTCCCTCCTCTCTCTCTCTCTCTCTCATTTTCTTTTACGTTTATTAGGTGGAGTATAATGTAATTTTGATACATTAAAAATGAAATTGTTCTATATATGGAATTACCTTCAAAATAATTTGGGTGAGGAAGATATGGAGGGTATAGATGAAATAAGATTCACCACAGATCAGTAATTATTAAACTTGAGTGATGAGTACATGGAATTTATTATAGGTTCGTGTCTACTTTTACATATATATTTAATTTTCCATGCTAAAATGTTTTGAAATAGAATTGCTTTTAATGAATCTAATTGAAAA